AATGTATGCAAATTGGAAATTGTGAATGAGACTAAAAGTTGAGGAACAAATTACATCATTTCCTTTGAGTTATTATATATGGTCTGGTTTGTTTTGTTTTACGGCATATCAACCTCAATGGGTCATTTAATGCCGACAACTCCTTTTTTTTCATGTAATATATTTTTGTCGAAAATCTATTTCTGTTAATATTTTTCCTCAAAACTTAGAGCTGGTAATATTATTTTTTCAAAAAAGTATAGCTGGCAACATTATTTTTTCGAAAACGTATAGCTGGTAACATTGTTTTTTCAAAAACATATTATTGGAGGCCTTGCTGTTGGATGTAGTTTATCGTCATACCCAGGACGCGGATATATTTTATCGTCATACCCAGGATGCGGATGTAGTTTATCGTCATACCCAGGACGCAGATGTAGTCTGGATGTTAACTATTTGCCCATAGTTGGGACCCTAACAGGTGCAACCACCCCGGGTCAGAGTGGACCTGGGAACACCAGCAATTAAGACGTGGTTCCACACACCTGAAAACCTCCTGATCAGAAGCCTTGCTGCCGGACGTAGTTTATTGTCTTACCCAGGACGCGGATGCAGTTTATCGTCATACTCAAGACGGTAATACGATTAATGCGTTTTCGATTAGTGCGTATCTTTTAATGTACACATTAGCCTAATCGAGGGATTCCTGTATATAGTTAGAAGAGTTGCCTTTAAATATAAACTCTTCATTATATATATTTCCCAAGACGATTACATAAATGTGTATATATGATGCTGGATCAGAAGCTGTCCAAATCGTTGAGTATATAACTCTTTTGTCAAGGGGATGTTGATAACTATATTGAAATATGACTTTCATCTGACAGCGATTAGTAATTTATTTTTGTCATTATATGCCAGGTAATTGATTAATTTAATTACACATTGTGAACTCTGATTTTTGTCAATAAAATAATTGTTGTAATTTAATGTTTATTTTAACGTTATATTAAAAATGAAAATAAGCCGTTGATTTATTCCACTCCACTTGTCAGACATACAATCAATTGTTGTTACTCAACTAATTAATGGAAGTTAATGAATGTTTTGGTATTTGTTTATTGATTACTGAAGGTGATATAGTTGATAATATTTTATCATGCGATTGTTCACCCAAGAACCACTCACGTTAGCGGTATAGTGAATAGGATTGTTTTAAGGGCACAAGGAAGGAGGAAGAATTAAGAGATACATATTATGAGTATATGGGCACGTGGCCGAGTGGTTAGAACATTCCCATTCTGATCATGAAACCCGGGTTCGAATCTCACCACGGTTGATTTGAAACCTCCTGATATTACTGATGTTACTGAGATGATCCCAGTGTGCGGCAAAGTGCCTGAAAACCATAGCACAGAGTCACAAGTCCTCGTTGCCGAGGGCTTCAGCGTGTTGGCCTTGTTCAAATTGTTGATCACATAAGACGCTTTCTCACAGGTGGGCTCTGTGGGTGTTCAAATTCTATCAGATCGTTTTGAGGATAAAGCAATTTTTATAAACCACTTCATATTTAATATATATATATATATATGTGTGTGTGTGTGTGTGTGTGTGTGTGTTTGATATCAGTTGATCCTAGACTTGAAGAAGCCAATGTGGTGGGTATATCATTCTATCGGGCGTCTGTTACATAAGGCAATAGCGCTGGAAGATAAGGTGGTCCGTAGCATGATGTGTCCTAGATGGGAAGTTTTGAATTAGTGCAACTAAGAAATGGAAGTCCTTTGAACGTTTGTTATTGCAATAGCGATAGCTTAGTGAAAGGTTGATAAGGTTACATCTTTTGGAAAGAAGCTGCATGATAGAAAATAATTAATCACCCACGGAATAAATATTGAACTCCGCCATGGCTGGACAGTGAAGTACCAACCTAGATATGGCAACAATAGTCCTTTCTTGGTTTCATTTGAACCTTGATAAGATATAGCATGGCCGTAGGCATTTTCTAGAGTAATACAATGAACCTACCACAGTCCCAGTATCTTTAGCCGTGGTAAGAATATACGAAATTCATCCGCGTTCTGGAGAGGGCATGTCAGAGGGGAAGTGTACGCTTATAGAGATCATCAAGTGTAGCAGATTCAAAATAAACGATGCATCAAATGAAATCATGCTCTATATTAATATGCAATGTGCAATTCTTGGGCGTTCAAGCAAACATGTACCCATCTTGTCAGCTGGGGCTTCAGAATACGTCGACTGTATTTCTGCAGAAGGGTAACCTCCCCGAACCAATGAGTCTTCCTGGGTATGACAATAAACTACATACGGCAGCAAGGCCTCTGGTCCGGAGATTTTGAGGCGTATGGAACCACCTTTTAATTGCTGTTTTTCCCAGGTTCATTCTGACTTGGGGTTGGTAGTACCTGTCATGGTCCCAGCATTAAATAACCCGTTGGGGCTGATATGCTGTAGAACAAAATAAATCAATACAAAAAGATATCTACTCTTAACTGCAACCTGCTATACATTATCCCGCTACTTGTCCATCTGTCGATACAAGTCAGCATGAGTTATCTGTGAGTTGTGCGAATGAGTCAGGCGTCAACTCACCATGTTCCGTATATAGCGAACAGGGACTAACGTTCAAATAACAAAAATGAACCTATATTAAATCGCCTAATTCCATGATGAAAGTGGTTGAGAGTGAGTGGTTGTTGAATATATTTTGGGAGGTGTCAGTCACTAGGCCGACGTCGCACAGACAAACATCAATCATTTACGTTAAGGAAGAAGCTGATTTTCAAAGTGATCGCTATTCGAAAAACTAGGTGACCCTCACACGGCAGTACATTAAAGAAACTCGCATGATACTCGAGATAGATGATAAAATCCTTGTTTCTAAATGAAAATTTTGGGGTAGCACGACACGCGAGATCGCGTGTTACACGAGTACATGCGGTAATTTTACAGCGACATTAATTTTGCGTCATAAGGAAATAGCTAAATATTAAGAGTATCGGAATCTTCAGGCTTACATTGTATTCAATCCAGGAGTATTGTCATTCAGTATATATTATGAAGACCTCGAAGAGCGTCAATAACAATAATACTTAACTGTTTCTTCTCGAATTTTAAAGCAATGTTGTCACGTGATAGAGGGTTTTATGTCAAATCCAATCATTTTTTCGAGATTTGCTTCGAATCAGCGATAAGTCACGAATCACCTGCAGGATTAGTGAGCTGCTATCTACTGATCCATTCAAATTGTTGCATCCAATTTTTAAAACGCGAAGAGTTCAATTAACGCTTCTTTGGCGTCTGTCGGAAGTAGGTCTGTTCGTGCCTTGTGGATGAATAATAGAGCTCTTCATTAGGGTGAATGGAAGTAAATTGCGACACAGTTCTCCTCAGAAGAACGACACCTGATTGAAGCGCGGAGTGAGAAGGCTGAGGGAGTAAGTCTAATGTCAAAGAGGCGTGTCCTGGAGGAAAGGCATATCTTTCTATCTTCTATGAATCTACACGTACAGACAAACTCAAATACATAACCATATTTATTTACTTCGGATGCGGTCATATTTCATGAACACTTGTAAGCACAGATGGACAAACAAATATATAATTGGGGAGATTTATTCAAAATCATATTCATCCATTTACATATATTGGTTACGTAATTAAATGCACGTTAATAAGTGCACTTTTATGCTAAGTTCTAACCAGCCAATGACGTGGCAGAAAATTAAAGTATATAGCCATCTAATCATTGTCATGGTGACCTACTGAATGTCGTTCCACGACTTATTATGGGTCAGGAATATATTTTAAATGAGTTTGAATGCTTCTAGGTCGTTGCTACCAAATATATTCTTCTGATTATTTAAAATAATAGGATTTCTACGCAGAGTCATCACAAGGGTTTACTGAGAATGGTCATTAAAAGAATGTGTGTAATCTTCTGGATGGTAATCACTTGTCTAGCTCCAGAAAAAAAAAGAGTATTTCCAATGATGTCTCTTTAGAACGGAGTTATACAGAAAAACAATCTCTGAAGGAATAACACGTCACACCTTGAAGCAGATGACTTATCGACTCATTTTCTACGGCTTCTCATCCATTTGCAGGTAATTTAACCTCTTCCCTGCCAATTATTCTTTAAAAACGTTTAATTTTCAGACGATATTTTTTTTTTATATAATGACGGAAAAACAGCCGCACATAGAAGTACCCGAGCGATGTTTAACCCTCTACCAGACAGATGAGCTGACAAGTGGACTCGTTTCAAGTCCAGAAGGGCATAAAACGAATCAAAATTGACCTATAAACACGTCTGTAGATGGCTTTTAAGCATTATGTTTTGGACGTGCTTATTACTTTGTGTCTGAAAAGAACACGTTCGATAAAAAAAAAACAAAAAAAAAACGTATATACACATATACGCCGGGAAAAGAGTTAAAAGCAGAAAATATTTGTAGATTGTAATATTTTTTGAGATAACAAGGGAGGGCACTATTTACATTATTCGGAATATTGTCCTCATCTTTGTCGACATATTTATTACAACGTTTCGGCCGTTGTACGCTCCGGCTTTCTTCAGGTGGTGCAATGTCGAACTGAACCCTTTATTTCGCTCACTGTGGTAGACAGTTCTAGTTCCACATGCCATGGATGTCAGTTATTATTTATCTCCTATTAATTCCCCTCTCGAAGTTCTCCACTGCCTTAACCGGGTATTGAACTCTCACTTTTTGGTTCCTGTCACTGGATCTAACAAACGCCTTTCTCCACTGTGTGATGTGTCCTTGAGACGACAAAGATGAGGACAATAGTCTGAATAATGTAAAGAGTGTACATAATACCTCATCTCAGAAATAGATACTGAATAAGAGATGGGGAGAAAAGTTGGATTTATATCTTTGTCCAGCGTATTTGGGCGGAGGTTAATATAGCAAATGCAATGGGAATTGGAAATCTGCTCTCGTTTTAACAATTCCTAGTCATTAGCCAGTACATCTAAGCTTACAGCACCTGGTATTCCAAAGCGGTCACCACTCCAAGTACTGACCAGATTCGAGGTTGCTTAACTTCGTTGATCGTACGGAAATCGGTGTTTCAATGTGAATTGGCCGTAAGCCCTTGAAACGGATGGGTGACAGCAGTGCATCATAATTCAGATCAAAACAATAAAAAGAGTTCGTTAAGGAGCACAAAAGCTGGGCGACAATTCACTGAAAAAGGTTGCTCTGTCTGTTCAGTCACGATTTCTGTTGTGACATTCGAATGTTAGTGTCAAAAATTGGTTTTAACATCATGAAATATGAAACCGATGACTTGTGTCAAAAGGCCGTTGGGAAGGTGCTAATAGTGGTGTAATAATTAAGGGAATATTTTCTTGTTAAACTTGTTATCGATTAAAACAAAAATACAAAAACATTGACGTGAAAATTGCATTTAAGCGTGAAGCAGTATGTCGCCGCTGTATGTTGACGTCAATGTCAACATATATATATATATATATATATATATATATATATATATATATATATATATGATCTATCACTGTCAGTGGACACTTTAATACATGCTTTAATATATACTTTTATCTATCTATCTATCTATCTATCTATCTTAATATCTCGATATATATAAATTTCTCTCTCACTCTGTCTCTCTAAATATATACATTCATACTGATATATATACACACACATATATATCAATAAGTCACTACATATATCTCTCTATACATCTACATCTATCTCTTAATGCATATATATATATCTTTGTCCCTGATCTCTCTCTCTCTCTCTCTCTCAATATATATATATATATATATATATATATATATATATATATATATATATATATAGAGAGAGAGAGAGAAAAAGAAAGAGGAGAGAGAGACTCGCATACTAAATAATTTATTTTTATTTCAACGTTTTTATTACTTGCATACGAGAAACATTACTAAAGAAAAAGTGTTCTCTGACAGGGTCCGAACCCGTATCCGCCATGTAGCAGAAAAAGGCGTCTAATTTAAACACGGGTATCTATTAAACATAACATTTGAAGTACTAAATATATAGTCTACTATTGATTTAAATTCTTCACAGTAATGCTACCCATATATATTTCTATATTTATCTATCTCTTTCTCTCTCTCTCTTTCTTTCTTTCTTTCTTTCTCTCTCTCTCTCTCTCTCTCTCTCTATATATATATATATATATATATATATATATATATATATATATATATATATCAGGTTATTACTGTTCATAATTAAATTTTCATCATGTTTTCTTCACCTGCCACTTTAATATACATCTGTAGAATATGAAACTATACACGTTTTTAGGAACCTAACTTCCTGAAAATTAAAAAAGTAATTGATAAAGTATGTTTTTTTCACCTGTTATTGAAATATTATAGTTTCAAAAGCATAGTTTATCAAATCTAAGATTCACGGGACACTAACTATTTTTTGCTATTCAAGTGGGAGAGATTTGTTATTTTAATACTTATTTTGGTACTTTGGAGTTGTTATTTTGAACAATTATGCAAATGACCGTGCTTAATTTATTTTCCCATATGTTATTTCAAACTTATTAAAAAGTATCAAAACTTGATGTCACCAGACCTATTTGAAGTCTTTCAGCACATCGTGTAGTTTTAAGTGCATATCTATTTGTCCAATTGCATAAATTACACGTTTGTCAGGTAAGACAAAAGAATATTGCTTTGGTATTTACATAGCCGAAGATATCATTTCTATTTTATTTTCTTAATCTAGTAGTTATTAAAAAAAATGGATGACGAAAATTAGACAAAAGTTACACACATGTTTATAGATTTATATAAAAAAGAAAAAAAACACGTTATAATTACTTTACATATTGCAGAACTAAAATTGAATATTCCCAAAACTTTACTGGATATAATACTACAATCTTCCGTGTGTATTTAAAATAGTTCAAGATTCTTAATAGCTCTGCGAGTATTTATTCTGGCTCAGGGATTGTGTGCACATACTTATTTGTCCTTTTGGTATTAGTTGCCTCGCAGTTATCTCCCTTGAATTCATTGCTTTTAGCATCATCCTAGATTTCACACCTTGCTTGCGAGATTCGTTTTCTATTTCCTGGTCTCATGATTTATTTCAGCACAAAAATAATAAATTTAAAAACATGTTTTGTCTAGATCAAAAATTGAATAGTGGCCAATTACATGCTGAGATGATAAAACCCAAAGCAATGAAGCGAATATGGCCAAATCTGACCTCAAACACTCATATTGCGAGGGTTCATTGCCCTTGCTCGTAAACAATGTTCAGACAAAGAGAGACAGCGACGACGAGAATAGTTTATTTATAGCGAACAGTAGCCATGGAAATCATAACTTTCATTGAAAGATCACTCGCCTGTCTTTCCACTGTCGCTGCTGCTATCGTAATTGGCTTCTGAGAATAAAATGTTGAGGTTTGGTGAGGATTAGAAATGAACAGGTAGAAGTAGTATCAAGATTCCATCTTTTACGGCTGAAATGTCCATATATTCCATGTGCTGTGTCTATACCTTTTCTTTTATAACGACGACTATTACAATTATTATTACTCCTATAACTACAAAACTTCCGCTTCCCGATGGTACTGCCAAATAATATCATAGAAAATAAAAAATGTTTATCATATTATAGAATTAGAAATTATTTTTCACATTTAGTATTATCAAAATGTTTATAATATAAATTTTATTTATAATTCATATTAACGTTTCATACATTAGAATAAAATAAAAACGTCGACGTCTTCTACTTGATTTGTTGTATGATAAAATCATTTAATATCTCACCTGAGGCCTAAGGTAAATAAAATAATTTTAGGAAGTTATTAAGTATATTAGGTTTGAGATTTTTGTAAGTGGATGCAGTAGTAATTAAGCCATTTTTTATTTTACATAAAAAAGGGATTTCTTGGAATATTTAAGTGTGCAACACAGTATGCTTGCATAACTTCCATATAATTTTCCTTCGTCTATTACAGATTTTTTCTAACTTGTAGTTATTAATAAGTGTTGGTTGAAACGGACGAGCATTTGGTACTATCCACCGAGGCAATGTCGTCTTATCATTCATATATATATATATATATATATATATATATATATATATATATATATATATATATATATATATATATATATATTATTTCAAACTTTATTGTAAGCATTTAACGTCAAATATTATATATTATTGCAAACATTATTATATTTATACTTCAAATATTAATTATATATCATTTAAAAAATATACTTTGTCACATGGTTAATATTACTAAATGTTTTTCGTACTGATTACGTCGGTACCTTTTCGTGTGACTTTGTTTTATTGACCAACTTATCTATTCTAATTTAAAAATATATATATATATATATATATATATATATATATATATATATATATATATATATATTCATATCGTGGGCTGGCAGATATGCTTTTTTACATGTATTCGCGCGAATGGTACTGGACGCGAGGCTGTACAGTTGTATCAAATTGCGTTTACAGACTCGGAGACAGAATCAGTGGCACTACAAACCATGGATCGAGGAAGACTCGGACGCCTGAACACGAAGGATATATGCTACAGGCTGTCGCAGATGATCAAGGTATCAGCACACGTCAAGTGGTCCTAGTATAGTAGGGTCAGAGTCAGTTGGGCACTGTCTGTGAGAAACAGTGCCCCATGACGGAATTGGCTCAACCAGAAAGTTTTACTGCTTGGCATTCGCGCGCGAAGTTCCAATACAAACATTTAAGAGGGTCTGGGTGTCAATCTGAGAAGACTGCAGAGGATTCGGGAAGAGTTGGATGAGTCTCATACTGATTACGAATGTACAGCAGCTCGGAAAATTTACTCTGATCATTCTGATTAGAAAAAAAGAAACTTCCGTATTCGTTGGAAAGGTTCTCAGACTCAACAGGGAGGCCTACATTAATTGCTTGAGAAGAAACTGCCCTGGGTCAAGAGGGTGGCTGCTGGAAGACCCTGTGTCTATCAACAGGACTCTGCACCACGCCACACAAATATGAGAACCCAGTCATGGCTGTCAGACAAATTCTGTACGTCTGGCCACCTGACTCACTAGACTGCACACCGTTGGTTATTAGGTGTGAGGTTCAGTTGAGCGAGAGACCAGCAAAATTCCTTGTAACACCAAAGATGAATTGAAGGCAAAGATTATGGCAACATTCACAAACTTAAACAAGGAGACCGTTCAGAAGAGTTGCAGGTGATTCCGAAGTCGTCTGGCGGCTGTGGCTGAAGCCAATGGCGAATTTATTGAATAGATTTACTCTTTAGTTTTTCAAGATATTTTTGTGTAATTTCGGCAAATATATCTGTTAAAATGAGATGTCATTCATGATTCAAACGTCACACACACACACACACACACACACACACACACACACACACACACACACACACACACACACACACACACACACACACACACGCATGCGCGCGCACACACGCATATATATATATATATATATCAGTATATATACATATATTGCTTTAAACATTACACTTATATATATAATATTGCTTTTAGGCTTTATATATATATATATATATATATATATTAATTTAAACGTATAAATGTATATATTTCTTTAAACGTATATATATATATATATATATACATATACTTATACATATATGAATATATATTGCTTTAAACGTTATATATATATATATATATATATATATATATATATATATATATATATATATTATGTATACTCAATCAAACGTTAAGTATATATCATATATCAGTTTTTTCAAACGATATATTTCTTCGAATGACATATATATATATATATATATATATATATATATATATATACTAGTATTACGGCTTCTTGTAACCCTATGTTCCTGTTTCATATATCGATGCAACTGTATTCAAAATCAATTAAGCAAAAGCCTTCATTTCTTTTCGTTCTTGAAAGGGGACAACCCAAACAAAAAATTCGAATTTTTTAAACACCCATTAAGGGCAAAATAGCAAAATATTCCAGAAGCTTTATTCTTCAAATTGCTAATGATTTAATTGTATTGTACTTAAGTA